TTTTTTTTTTTTTTTTTTGTAAAAAGTAGTTCTGTAATGCGTTTATTTTCTGATATTGTCTACTATATCTGGTAGGCTGATCCTTTTAAGGTGGGAGGGGGCGGGATAGCCTACAAGTCTGACTTTAGTTTGATTCATACAGTGCTTTCATGATTGGTGATGGGAAGCTCTTGACGAATGCGCATTGTGTTGAACATGATACACAGGTACCTCTGAGGTTTTAATCTTCCCTTTATAAGTATACAAATTCTTATTATTTATGCCCCTCTCTCCTCTAAATTAAATAAAAGGACGTCTCTAATAACAATTTGGTGTCAACCAATAATCAGAACAAGTATATCATTATAATTTTAGGTTATTTTATGAACCTTCAGGTGTGGGTATACGAATTTATCCTTTCCCCTCCCATTGTGAACAATGTATCTTAGTCATCTAAGACATGGTCTATCAAACCAAAGCTGGACGTCCACACTGACCCGAGAAAACATGCATTACTACATTTACGGAAAAAAAAATCATTTTATTTGTACTTTCTTTAAAGGGCGAAGGAGGTCAGATTTTTTTCTTTTTCTTTTATTTCATAAATGATTAATAACAGCTTGGGATGAGTATAGAGAAAAGGTAAATTTGAACTTTGTCATCCATATATTAATGGCTTTGCAATATGCCATCCACAGTTTTAGGATCGGACTCCACGTCCAACTATTGAAATTTATTTCACTGTCATCCTGACCCTTTCACCGGTGAAAACCTAGTGGGAAGGCAAGACTAACGATTTGTGGTCAATTTTTTCCAAATTATCTGGACAAGGCTGTATGACTTCCCAGATAGGAAACTAGAAACAGAAAGGTAAGTGCAGCTCGTTTACCCTCATTTTTGTTGTTTTTTTACTAGAAAAATGTGGATAGCAAAGTGAAGGGCTGAAGGCTTAGAAACTTTGGACGGCATTCTGCAAAATAAAAAAAAGGAGGATAGAAAATGCATCTTTTCCTTCAAAGAAACATAATTTTGATTATCTAGCTCATATCTGATCCAACCTTACCCATAAAGAATTGATCACCGGCAGTCCATATTAGCTAATCCAAGTCCATTTTGTTCACTAATCAATCCATTGTGTTTTTGGGATAATATCTATCTCCACATTACCACCTGCACTTTTATGACACACTCATCTCAAGTGTATACATAGTGGCCAACTTTGTATTCAGTATTCACTATTGTTGAAGACCTGCTATTTAGGTTGTCTTCTATCACCCAAATGAGTAACTACATTTTCTACTCCATCTGCCTTTCAAATGCTGGTTTTTAGCTTAATTAATATTTTTGGTGGCAGGTCAAAGTGAAGAAAAGGGGAGATGACACAAAATATGTTGCCAAGGTATGGTTTTCATGATAAGTTTTAAATGCCTGCATCACTTAGAAATCATTCTAGTATTATAAATAGTAGTTTTAAGGGTGCAACTATGGTGAGGTAGGTTGACAACTTAGACCAAAGTAACCTAATTATGTGGTGCTTAATTCTCATCATGTATGACATGTAGGTTCTAGCTAGAGGGGTAGCGTGTGACATAGCTTTGCTATCCGTGGAAAGCAAGGAATTCTGGGAGGGAGCTGAGCCCCTTAGTTTTGGACGGTTGCCTCGTCTGCAGGTACTTCTCATTTGTCAATTCCATTTTTTAAAAAGCTGTCCCATGGGTAACTTTATATATGCTTTTTTCCCTGAAGACGTACTTTCTCATTTTCATGTTGGTCTAAATTTGCCAAAGAAATTAGGATAAGCCAACAACACCCTTTGCAAGTGTTCATACTGAATAAAGTTCCCACCTATCTAATTGATGTCTGCTTGCTATATTAGTCAATTGCACGTGATCTTGGATAAATTAAGTTTGTGGATGTCCTATCCTTGAGTCGAGATTTGTCTATGATATGTATGATTATGTGAATTCTTTAATTGTATGGCAGCTTCGCATTTGATAGTAAGCTTCTACGGTTGATATCCAAGTAAATGCTTAGCTATTTCTTCAGTGGGATTATACCTTCAAAGAAAG